TGCCACTAGGACCAAGATGGGAAAGTCAGAGAGATAAATTTAAGTTCGGTGGAAGGTGGAACATCCTAACAGTTTGGACAACCCCACAATAGAACAGGATATGTGGGAAGCAGCCTCCTTTTCCTGGGGTATGTTCAAACAAGGACTAGAAAGTCTTCTGTCAAAAAGGCTGCAGGAAAGATCCCTCACAGGGTGGGGGCTGAATTGCACAAGGTTTTAAGGCATTTTCCAGCAGGTATATTCTATGGTAGTTAACAGGCATCAGCTTAGAGACACCGACTCTGCTAATGACTTGAGTTGTTCTTTATCTCCCACTCCCTTCTTCAGACCAAGAAGTACTGATACCTACATCCACTAATATCTTTCTCAGAGGCAACATGCACTTTAGAATCAAAACTCCAGCTCCCCTCCATCCCCGGAGCTGTGCTAGTCCTGCAGGTCTTTGGCGAGCCGCGGACATGGGTCTCTCTTCTGCAGGACAGGGTTTGTCAAAAATAAGGCCCACTTCAAGAGATACCAAGTGATATTCAGAAGACAACGAGAGGGTAAAACTGATTACTATTCCCCAAAACACTTGGTGATCCAGGATAAAAGTAAGTACAAGATAGTTTCTGTAACTAACAGAGAGATCATTTGTCAGACTGCTTATTCCCTTATAGAAGGAGGTATGATAATCTGTGCAGTTTATACTCAAGAACTCCCAAAGTATGGTGTGAAGGTTGGCCTCACAAATTATGCTGCAGCATACTGTACTGGCCTGCTGCTGGCCCACAGGCTTCTCAATAGGTTTGGCATGGACAAGCAGGTGGAGGTGACTGGAGATGAACACAATGTGAAAAGCATTGATGGTCAATCTGGTGCCTTTACCTGGCTGCAGGGCTTGCCAGAACTACTACTGGAAATAAAGTTTTTGGGGCCCTGAAGAGAGCTGTGCATGGACGCTTATCTATCTCTCACAGTTCCAAACAATTCCCTGGTCATGATTCAGAAAGGAAGAAATTGCCTGGCTGGTGTTGTTCAGTGGTTGAGTGTTGACCCATGAGCCAGGAGGTCAAGGTTCCCAGTCAGGGCACATGCCCAGGTTGCGGATCCATTCCCATTGTGGGGTTTGCAAGAGGCAGCCGATCAACGATTTTCTTTCATCTTTGAGGTTTCTAGTTCTCTCTCCCTCTACCTTCCTCTCTGAAATCAATAAAGATACATTGAAAAAAAAAATAAGGAATTCAATGCAGAACTACACTGGAAGCATATCATGGGTCAGAACATTGCAGGTATGAGTGATCTAATGGAAAAAGATGAAGAAACAGTTCTCTCAATACATAAAGAACAATGTAATTCTAGACATGATGGAGGAGATGTATAAGAAAGCTCATGCTGTGCCCTGGCTGGTTAGGCTCAGTGGATAGAGCGTCAGCCTGTGGACTGAAGGGTCCTGGGTTCAATTACAGTCAAGGGCACATGCCCGGGTTGTGGGCTCGGTCCCCAGTAGGGGGCATGCAGGAGGCAGCCAATCAATGATTCTCTCTCATCACCAGTGGGGGGTGTGCAGGAGGCAGCTGATCCATGTTTCCAGCTCTCTATCCCTCTCCCATCCTCTCTGTAGAAAGGCAATAAAAATATATATTTTTTAAAAAAAGGAAACTCATGCTGCTATATGAGATAATCCAGTCTATGAGAAGCCTAAGAAAGAAGTTAAAAAGAAGAGGTGGAACCATCTCAAAATGTCTCTTGCCCAGAATAAGGATTGGGTAACTCAGAAGAAAGCAAGCTTCCTCAGAGCTCAGGAACGGGCTGCTGAGAGCTAATAAACCAAACCACAATTTTCTATGGACAGACAATAAACTTACTGGACAAGCAACTAAAATAAAAAGAATCAAAACTCCAAAGATAACACATGTGAAAAAATAAAGGTCCTTGAATTGCTACATACAGTGGCAAATGAAAACATAATGTGTTAATATTGCCAACTGATTACCTCCATTCTCATAGTTCATTAATAGTTCCTGAAGGTTTGCATGCTACTGAATGAAGAAAATTAGGATAGTGGTCCTAGTTGTTAACTCACTGCCTCCAAGTTTAAGAAATAAGAGTTGCTAGAAGAAAGCTGGAGTTGAAGGGAAAGAACTTCTGTAGATCCATTTAGCAGATGAGGATAAGTAAATTATTCACACAGCTAATAGGTGATTCAGATCTGAAAGGGTGTGATTTTAGATTACATAGTAGGACTCTTTCATTTGTTTCCTGTTTTAAGAATAGACAACCTGGCCGAACCGGTTTGGCTCAGTGGATAGAGTGTCGGCCTGCGTATTCAAGGGTCCCAGGTTCGATTCCGGTCAAGGGCATGTACCTTGGTTGCGGGCACATCCCCAGTAGGAGAGTGTGCAGGAGGCAGCTGATCGATGTTTCTCTCTCATCGATGTTTCTAACTCTCTATCCATCTCCCTTCTTCTCTGTAAAAAATCAATAAAATATATTTTAAAAAAAGAAAAAAAAAAAGAATAGACAACCTGAAGCTGGGCCTGCATAGTGAGGAGGTTAACATCAGAACAAACTCTCCAGGGCTCAGAAGCAGAAAGAACTTTCTCCAAACAACTTCCCATTGATTGCAATGGTTTTTGAGAATCTGAAGCCTGGAAAAGTCAGAATTATTTGCCTTTTCACAGCTAAGTCTCATGCTCTTTAGAATGCACTGCCTGAAACTGAACTGTAACACAGCTGCTGGCGAGTCGCTAATCCATCCCAGAGAGCATGCTGGAGCTGGATCACCCTTCAGAGATGAGGGATGGAGACTAGAGCTGTGTCTCTACCCCCACCAGTAACTGGAAGCAAGGTGTCTCTGGAAAGGTGATGTAACTTCCGCTGAGGGCAATTCTGGGGGAGAAACTGTGAGCCCACAGCAGCCAAGAGCAGGGAGTGGTTAAGGAAATGAGTGCGTCAGTCCTGCTGGGGGTCTGGGCGGCACTCCACAGCATCCTCTACAGACAATAAATTCTCTGGTCAGTCTTCCCAAAACATCACTTCTGAGCTAACATTGCAGCAAACAACGAATTAATATTTTATGCTCCCACATTACCCTGAACTACAGATTTTTTGTGTTGTCATCAATGTGTGTTATTAGATAATTCAAAGGTCTGATGTCCTCTGTAAAAACTGAAAGACCTAACAAAACAAAACAAAAAAGTTTCTGAATGAAGGTCACTACCTCTCCAAGTAGATAAATGATCCAAGGAAGTACACTGAAGTCAGATTCAGATTCTCCTTAGAATTTCTCTTCCTTTCCAAAGCATACACAAATGAGAGCAATAGGTCCTGAAATTCCCACATTTTCTTTACCATGCTTACCTGTTTGGCTGCAATTTCTTCATCTCGTCCATCTCCAATCACTACATATGTGACTTTCTTTCCAAACCTTGACACAATTCTCTCAAAGCAGCTCTCTTTACCTGATGAGAGAAAGCAATTTCCTATTAGGATATCCTGTCCTACCTTTTTTTCAACAGCAAAGAAAAGGCTGCTGCTAGGTTCACCAGCCTGTGCACAGACAAAGTGAGTGGCAGCCCCTGAAGTCTGCTTGGTGCGGAGTAGCGGTGGCAGCTAGAGATCCTGGTAGGCTCTCTGCATCTATAAATGGGAGGCTAAGTGGCCTAGGCAGTGTGAGAACTGTGAGCACTACGTCCCTTTCCCACATCTCCTGTTCTTGACAGCTTACAAAGCAGTTTTCAAATTATTCCTTACTTAATTCTCAAAATAATCCAGTGAGATAGGTACTGTACCCTATTTTAACAGATAAAATGGGACTAGTGACTTGCCCAGATCCAAACAAGTTTATAACTAGACTTTGGGCTCCTGATTCCAAATCTAGGCTCTGGACATTGTGAAAGGATATTTTTTGAGGGGAAACTATTTTATTGTAGGGGGAAAAGTGGGAACATAAGGCCTCGATTTCTTGTTAGTAATAAGAAACAAACAGCCATTTCCCTCCAATTTTTTATTTTCCAGAAACAGTTCTGGGCATGAACGAGCCTTATGGCTTTCAGTAGGGGAGGAGCCTCAGAGTACCAATAAATATGGCAGCAACATTTGTCATATCTGGAATTTCCTCCCTATTATATTTTGTAACTGCAACTGAGATACTATATCACTGACCTTAACCTTGGGGAAATGGGTGTTTCAATACATTGTAGACTGTTTTTAGATATATGGTAATAAAAATTCAAATCCCATTTGGAACCTACACATAAAACATGCACAGGTGATACTGCTTTTTATTTGCAGAAATAAATAAAAAGGAAATTGTTTTCTTTCCTTTTTCTTTGCCATCTCTTATACTTTATTTCCCTGCTCTGCCACCTTCTTCAGTTAAGTGATTTTTCTATTATACTATATTGTAGCGCTCTCTATGCGAAAAAGAAATCTGAAATGAGGCAAAAGTAGATTTCTAAACTAGATATTATGTCCTTTCAAATATTATAAAGGAAAAGAACAAAGTCCCACAGATCTGGATTTGAATCCTGTTTATGTAACTTACTATCTGTGAAGTCTTGTGCAAGCTACATAACTGTTAAGCCTGAACTGCCTCACCAGTAATATCAGAAGACTGTTGTGAGGTTAGATCGGAGGTGGGCAAACTTTTTGACTCGAGGGCCACAATGGGTTCTTAAACTGGACCGGAGGGCCGGAACAAAAGCATGGATGGAGTGTTTGTGTGAACTAATACATGTTAACACTGCTGCTGGTGAAGGAGCGGAGGGGAGAGCAAGAGAACCCTCCGTTCTTTCAGCTCCACGGGCCGGATCCGGCCTGCGGGCCGTAGTTTGCCCATGGCTGGGTTAGATATAGATTAGATATAGATATAGAGATAGATATAGATATAGATATAGATATAGATATATGTCTAACAGAGGAACTGGTAAATAATAAGTACATCATAGTAGAAAATATTATTGTAAGGCAAGTGATAAGAAACTGAATAGAAACCATACCAATTTTGGTAGCACTATAGATGTTTTCAATAGGAAATATTTCTCCAAGTCCATATAGGAGAACCTTGGCCAGAGCTGGAACCAGCTGGGTTGTAGTGATCAGAACATTCACACAATTCTTCCTAGAAGGGAGAAATAAGGAGAGAAAAGAAAAGGGTGAACCAATCCAAGATGTGACCTTTAGATCTAAACCATTAAAAATTAACCTTAAAGGGCCTGGTAATGATATTTGTTCAATGTCAATGTTCAGTTATTGTTCTAATTATCTCAGGTTTACTTACTTTCCATATTAAAGGACAGAGATTCTATAGTGGGCACAGAGCAGCAACTCGATTCTTGCCTCATTTCCCTCTGATAATTCGCTCACTGCACTTGTTAGCAATTACCACCAACCCATGTCATTGATACTACTCTCTAGGAAACAAATGACAGACTTTCAGTTACAGTGCTATTTCATCCGAGTGCAACCCAGTTCTTTTTTTTTTTTAAAGCGTCTTTTTTTAATATATTTTATTGATTTTTTACAGAGAGGAAGGGAGAGGGATAGAGAGTTAGAAACATCAATCAGCTGCCTCCTGTACACTCCCTACTGGGGATGTGCCCACAACCAAGGTACATGCCCTTGACCAGAATTGAACCTGGGACCTTTGAGTCCGCAGGCCAAAGCTCTATCCACTGAGCCAAACCAGTTAGGGCGCAACCCAGTTCTTAATGAGATATGATTTAAGTCTTCTCTGTTCTTCATGTAATAGCAACATAGATTCCAGAAAACACATTAATTTCACAGGCCCTTTACAAACTTCACTGAATAACCTGTGTCAGTTTTAATGTTTGCTCTATTAGGTTATGGGTCTGGAATTCCTGTTTTGAGGAAGAAATCAGTAAGAGATTTAGATACAATTATGAATGTATTTATTTCCCATTATAAGCTTTAAACTGAAATCTCCTTAATCTGCTTAATGTATCCTTTTCTTTTGAGTCCTGCCTTCCTGAGTAAGTTTTGGTACATTTTTTTGAAGCTTCCTGTACTTAGGATATTTGAGATATGTCTCCTTTATGTATCCTTTGATGTCACCAGGCCCAACTCCTGGGCTGGAGATTATGATTTACTGAGTTTTAATTTTGTGAGCAAAAAGTAAGGGGAAGCCCTGGTTGGTGTGGCTTCGTTGATTGAGCATTGTCCCATGCACCAAGAGGTCACCAGTTTGATTCCTGGTCAGGGCCCATGCCTGGGTTGCAGGCTGGAACCCCAGTGAGGGCATGCAGGAGCAGCCGATCAATGTTTCTCTCTCTTTCTCTCAAATCAATAAAAAAAATTTTTTTTAAAAGGGAAAGAAAAGGGCTTTTATATATATTCTCTTAAAACTCTAAGGTGAGTTATTAGTATAAAATGGCCCTGCCTCCCACTAACCTACTACATACTTCCTTGCTTCACTTAAACTCCTCTCTCCCCACCCCACATCCTATTTGGGGAATGGCTTGTCCTAAGCTGGTGTAGGAAAGCGTGTGTCTCTGAGAGGATGAGACTAAAGGAACCACTTTCATACCTGGACTTGATGAGAAGTAAGGACTTCAGTGCAGTACCTAACCAGGAATCTGTTAACACTTCAATTTCTGCTCTTAGTCTCTGCAGTGCTTCCTTTCTCTGGGGACTGAGAAGGCCTTTGGGAATAAAAGCAGACACATGTATCATCTGACAACACATCCTTGCTGACATCCACGAAACAAGTCCTAGAATTCAACTGAGAAATAGTGTGTCATTAAAATTTCTACTGAACTAATACAGCTCTCTTCTTAGTAAAACGCTAGAGTAGTCTGCTCAAAATACCTTTTTCACCTTCTTCATCAGAATGTTTGCTACCAGGCACAACAAAACAGCTGAGGAAACAATATGATTAGCTTCTGACACAAGCTCTTTCATCATGAATCAGCAGCAGAATCTGCAGACTGGTGGACCGTTCCCTGAGTAGCACTGATTTAGACATGGGCTCAAGAACCAAAGGGGAAAATAAGTGTTAGAGCTGAAAGAAGAGTCTGCACCATTCCAATCTCTTTCTAAAGACACCAGAGCCCAGGGAGGAAAGGGATGCTAAGATTACACAGAAAGTTAGTGGCTTTTGGTCTCAAAAGTCTTTCCACTGCCTCTCCTGGTGACTGTGCTTTTCCTTTACCCCTTTCAGAAGACATCAACCTGAGATTCCAGGTTGAAAGACCACCTCTATGAATGTCATGTACTGTATTTACTTCTGAAACAACTCCAGTGAGTAAGAGACCAAGACACTGTTTAAGATCAGATAATTGAGCATAACAAAACAGAATTCATCTGATGAGAGCATGTGATCAGACACTTGAATTATAATATTCAAATAATAAATCTGGCCCTGAATTTTCTATAGTGAAGAGAAACCCTGTAATCTATTACCAATATTCCATAAAAATAGAGGGCATTTCTATGAGGACTAGAACCGCATATAATTTGTTTTTAGATTGATGTTTTGACAATGCAAGCCTAGAATTAGATGACTTTCAATGTTTCTAATAAAACAAAACCAATACCTCTATGGCATGTATGACATAAACATATATGTTTTTTACTTAACTAATAAAATAATGCGGCACTTTGACAATTCAAAATTTTTACAAAATACAGGTGGATATTCTTATAGAGGGTTATATTACTTCCTATAGCAAATTAGGTCCAGGTATTTACTAGGCAAAAAAAAATAATCAGACACTTAAATTTGACTCCCAAAGCCCAGTTGCCTGTGATTTTTACCTGGTATTGAAAGACTGTAACAGAAATGAACTAAATTGACTTCCAAAGTCCTATTTTTACTTTCTGCAGCACAGAAACGGTAGCATGGTATTGTAGGGGGATTCTCTTGACCTAGGGTAATATACCTTTAGGCAGTGTAGGAAATCCTTGAAACTTCATGTAACATTTTATGTGTATGTAAAAGTTTGAGGGTGATGGCTTACAATTTTAAATATTTTCTCATAATGGTATAGCACTAGAAAAAGAACTGCATGAATGTAAAGTGGACCAAGAATTCAGGGGTGTGGATTCTAGCTGTGGTAGATAAATAACTTGCTATGGTATCTGAACCTTGTTACTTTCAAGATGGACAGCAATTTTCTCAATAGATATCTAATGTCTCTTCTAGTTTGGACAATCTATCACTAATTAATCCCAAATAATAGAATTCAGGCCTGGTGGCACCTGGCATGAGATATTTCTAGGTAGAAAGAATTTCCAAGGTCCTTCAAATCACAACACATGGATACTGCCACCCTATACTCCTGGACCTAGTTTTCCATCCACTATAAACCACCTAGTGACTTGTTATATATGACTTGTCCTGATAGATTAGTTTAAAAACAATAAGGCAACCTATTAACTAGTACTGACAGTTTTGACTCCAGAATAAAATACGTCATCAAATATAATTAATGGAACGTATTTCCTTTAAAAAGGCATTTGTCTAAGAAAGAACAAGAGAGCTTTGAACTTATGCTAAGAGAAGCCCATCAGAAATGCAGAGCTTCCTCCCCAAAGGATTTTAATCAAACCTCCATGTTTTAAAATATAGAATTAAAATGTTACTGTGGCACAAATTCATAAACAGTTGTCAGAGGGTTCTAAGGAATCCCTGGACAAGAAAGCAGTAAATCAGAAAGAAAGAGAAAATCAGACTGATTGTATGCCACACTTACCACCCACGTTGCTTTTATGCTTATCATAGATTTCTCTCACTTTTCGGTAACGGAAAGCCAGTTTTCTCATCCAGTCCACACCTCCCTGTACACCCACAGAGGATCCATGGCTGCCACTGCCTCCTGAGCCACTGAAACCATCTGTTGAGAAACTATAGTTGCTGCAGAGAGAGAGGATAATGAAAATTAAAATCTATACTGCATGGGGTTTTTGTGAATGCCACTTGGGATTCTCTGTCCTATTCCTAGCACCTGACACCAAGACTAAGTGCTTTGAGAATCTTTTCTCTAATCTCTATGTCTCAGAGTCTATCTTTCACTATTCCTCTGTATCATCCCTATTACATCTATCAAAAAAAGGATGAAGACTAGGAAAGAGAGGTAGGAACAAGCACCAGCATCCCGCAGAGGTTAGCTTGAAATGAAGCATCCTTTCATTAATGACAGAATATCTTACAGTGAAAAAAAAACCCAGAATATAAAATTTTTGTGTATATATACATAAAATGATTGCAACTATGTAAAGAAAAAAAGAAAAAAATTAATGGGCCCTAGCTGGTTTTGCTCAGTGGGTAGAGCATTGGCCCGAGGACTGAAGGGTCCCGAGTTCGAGTTCGATCAAGGGCACATGCCCAGGTTGCGAGCTTGATCCTCAGTGTGGGGCGTGCAGGAGGCAGCCGATCAATGATTCTCTCTCATCATTGATGTTTCTCTCTCCCTCTCTGAAATCAATAAAAATATTACAAAATAGGGAGCTCAAGGCATGCAGGGCCAGAGACACCGGAGAAGCCGGAGACATGGGATGCGGAGCTGCATGGAGGCAGTGAGTAAGATAGCTCTTTGAATCTGCAATAAAAAATGCCCTCCAATAAAACTACATTGCAAAAAATGGGAAAGAAACAGATGGAAAGAGTAAAAAAGTTGAAGAGGCAGAGCCTGAAGAATTTGTAGTGGAAAAGTATTGGATCGATGTGTAGTGAATGGGAAGGTGGAGTATTTCCTGAAGTGGAAAGGATTCACAGATGCTGATAATACTTGGGGACCTGAAGAAAATTTAGATTGTTGAGTTAATTAAAGCATCTCTTAATTCTCAAAATCTAGTAAAGAAAAAGATGGTACAAAAAGAAAGTTTTTATCTGATAGTGAATCTGATGATAGCAAACACAGGAGAAGAGAGATGCTGCTGATAAACCAAGAGGCTTTGCCAGAGGTCTTGATCCTGAACAAATAATTGGTGCCACCGACAGCAGTGGAGAGTTAATGTTTCTCATGAAATGGAAAGATTCAGATGAGGCTCATCTGGTGCTGGCAAGAGGCAAATATGAAGTGTCCTCAAATTGTAATTGCTTTCTATGACAAAAGACTAACTTGACATTCTTATCCAGAAGACGAATCCCAATATTTGTTCCCATTCCTTTTTATATCTGTATATATAAAAGCCTAAGCGACTGTCTGACAGTTAGCTATGATGCACACTGTCCACCGAGGGCAGATGCTCAATGCACGGGCATGGAAACATGGAACAGACTGATGAATCCCAGAGGAAAGTGGGGAGGGGGAGGGTAGGAAGAGATTAACCAAAGATCTTATATGCACACTAGAGGCCAAGCACCCCTTGATCTGCATGTTTTCTCTTTACTCCAACTCATTCCTTACATGTAGGCTCAGTCTCAGTATTTGGGGTACTGGTTCAACCAAAGCCAGGAAAAACAACAGCTTTGTAGTAAATAGAATATTACTCAAGTGTATATTGTTTACTTTATTGTAAATACTGGTAAACAGTGGTTAATAGTTTTATATTCCTTTGTAAAAAAAATATTTAAGAAATATATAAAATGGAAGGTAATAACACAAAATATTAATAATAGTAAGATAATAGGGATGTTCTCTTTCAGTGATCTGTTGGCTAGTTTATTAAGCTCATAGTTCACTGGGTGGCTTTAAATTATGTCCACAGATTCTTCAATGCTCCTCTCCTCTAATTCCGCTCCTTCGGGTATGTAATGTATTGGAGCGTAAACAGATCGTGGTGTTAGACTTCAGAGACTAGACTTCTCTTGTTCTCTCCTGGAGCACTTGCTCTGAAGGAAGCCAGCTGTCACTTGAGAACACTCCAACTGCCCCATGCAGAGGCACACAGGGAGGAACTGAGGCCTCCTGTTATCAGCCACAGGCAAGAGGCTGAAATCAGGTTCCCCCTCTAATAAAAGCCTCAGATGAACTTAGATCCTGCCAATGTCTTGATTTCAATCTAAGAGACCCTAATTCGGAACTACCTAGCTAAGTCACTTTCAAATTTCTGACTTACAGAAACTATGAGATGATAAATGTTTACTCCCTCTGTCCCATAATAATAGTAGCAAGTGAATATTTAAATGGGAATTATTGGCGAATGCAGCTGTAAGTTATGTTGTAGCGCAAAATTGCAAAGCCTTCAATCAAAATCAATGTTTCGTGACATTTGTCATTTGTTTTGACACATCTTTCAATTTTTAGGTTAATATAATTATTATGAATTATAACTATTTTTCTAATTTAATCCGCTGATCGAAATCAATTGTGATTCGTTGAAAAAACAAAACTGTGGACGTAAATGCAAAGATTATGGAGAAAAACTTGAAAAACTTAGACATATTCCTCTTAGCAGAAGAGGCACCATATTAGCCTTTGATAATATTTCTCCCGAAATACTGGATAATACGTTTCTGTCACTTCAACAAGTTATGCTGGAAGCAATGAAGAACGATGGCTCCAATAATTTTACGCTCACACATATAGGGAAAGCAAAGCTTCGCAGCCAAGGGATCTACCTACAAGTTTAAAATGCAGTAACGAAATTATTGAAAAATCCAGAAACTATCTGAACACTCAAAATAAAAATTAGGAGTACTATTTTTAATTTAATCTAGTTTTTTTGATAATAAATGTTGCGTTCTATATTTTCTTTTGCTACTATTATTATGGGACAAATTACATTCATCAACTGCTACTATTATTATGGGACAGAGGGAGTATTATTTTAAGGTACTAAGTTTGGGATAATTTGTTATACAATAGATAACTGATATAGGTTTACCTTGGAGATATTATGGGTTCGGTTCCAGACCACCATAATAAAGCAAATATTGCAATAAAGCAAGACTGGTGGAGGAAACAAATGATTTTCTTTGTTTTCCTCTAAGCCTAGATTATGTCTTATGGTGTACTAGTATTTAAGGCATCGTTGCTTTTATCACCTTAAGTCTTGGCCATTGTCATCAGAAGCCACATCTTCCACATGCACCTGGTCACACTCCTGTTAAAAGACAAAACCATACACTATTTCAGTCTGGCCAGAAGTGCTAGTACCAACATGACATATTGTAAAAACACCACAAACAATGGTGTAATGATGAAATACCTTATGGCCTCTCTTGGAGGATCACTCTCACCCCCCTTGCTGTCCATCTTCTTTTAAGGCCTAATTCATACAGCACAGTCTTCATGAAACCTTAACCAAGCCAACCCTCACTTATGTATGCTCTTATCTCTATAGTTCATTTTTCCAACAGCTCCTAGGAATGAGCACAAACTCCCTTACATTGTCAGGTGTGTCCATGTTCTATACTAGATTGAAAGTTCTATTACACTGTAGGCCTCTTACAACACGACCCCTATCTTCCATCTCTTTTGTACTCCTCTGGTCTAGTCCAGTGACCTTATGCAGCATGTACCCAATAAATTCTTGCAGAAGAAACAGATGTTGGTAGAGTGTAGTATCACAACTGAAAGTGACTGAAACAGAAATTTATAAATTCAAATCTGGTACACAGAAGAGTTCGTCTAAGTCAATCTCCTCATGTTATAAAAGTGAGGTAAAATGATTTACCCAAGTGAGTGGTAGGAAGAATCTAGAAAGAGCCTTCTAATTCAGATTCAAGGTTCTTTCCACCAAACCCACATTAGTACTGACATAAAATGCCACCCACTGCCTAACTCTAACAGATTTACTTCTCTAACATCACCTAGGGTGGTACTGTAATGTCCACCTGCATCAGAATCCTCTGGGGAAGTTTTTAAAAAATGCATATTCTTGGGTCCACCCCAGAACTACCTGAATAGAATTTCTGGGAGTGAAGTCCTAGAATCTTCATTTTTAACAAGGTCCCCAGGTGATTCTTATGCCCCCTAAAGTTGATAACCACTGACCTCAGGGGCAGGAACACATTCAGGTCAAATTCTTCACAGAACTTTCAGTCCTGAGTGAGGACTATGTCTAGAAAATCATTACAAATACAATTTGGCAATAATTACTGGCAGATAATAAGTTTTCAACAAATGTTTGCTGAATAACTCTGATGTCCTACCTTCTCAACATGTGAAGTTGAGGAAAGATTAAAGCATCGTGGAGCTTAGACTTAAGTATTAGAATTTAGAGCCTTATTAATTTAATTTGTTGGAGAATTGTCTGTTAAGTAGAACTGGATTATATTTGAAAAGGAATAGAATTATTTCATGTTTATAAAATGCTATCTTAATTTACTTTAAAATTTTCACTATTTTTAAAACTAGGTAATACATTTGGTATACAGTTCAAAATTCAAAAGGATATTAAGTGACAAATCTGCTCCTTCCTACTTCCGTGTCCCAGCAATGCATCCTCCTCCCCAGAAAGAACAATGTTTAATAGTTTCTTGTGTAGAATAACTGCTTCACTGAGGCCCAAAGGTGGGAAGGTAACTTTCCTAACTTGGGACTCACACTCCGGTCTTCTGACTCCCAGGTCTGTGTTCGTTCCACTAAACCATGTTTACCTCAAAGGCTAACTAAAATGTCAAAACCAAAAAATTCACCAAGAAGCTCTCAGTGTTTCTTGGTTTTCCTTGCACTTTAACTATACAGCGACTCTGGATGCCAAGGCTAACGCATCCATGGAAAATCAGCATGTATAAAATAAAATGAATTACAGCTGTTACTTGTAGGTCTGACAAATCTAGAGATTCTTTTAAGAAGGTAAAATTGAGAAACCAAGATGGCGCCACAGGTAAACACCAGAAATTGCTGCCTCACACAACCACTTCAAAAATACAACTAAAAGACAAAACGGACATTGTCCAGAACCACAGGAAGGCTGGCTGAGTGGAAATTCTACAACTAGAAGGAAAGAGAAAAGCACACTGAGACTCAGAGGAGGTGTGGAAGTAAAGTGCAGAGGTACGGAGGCAGAGGCTCGCGTATGGAAAGGGCTGGCTACGGAGGACTCCAGTGTCTTTTTCTTTCTTTTTTTTTAATATATTC